AGTTCCTATGATAGAAAGACACAATCCCTTTTCCACCAAACACTGCCATTTTAAACTTACATATGCTTAAATAAGCTTTAACTAAAGAACAGTGGTCATATTTTAGAGTATTTGATTGCATTTTGATTACTATTTTAGATACCTGACTTATGTTTTTATTTTTGTTTTACAGTAGTAACCTCAGGAAAAAAAACAATAAAAAAGTAAAACTGACGTTGATTGGAAATTTCTACTGCAAGCAAATGAAAAATACAGACATTATTCTCAGAAAGCTTTTCATTTCACTCTTTATAATAAACCTATATAAATTGATAAATCTAATCCAAATATTTTCCAACAAAACATAAAGGATAGAAGACAATATGACATACATAAGGGATCCTAAAGTTATGGAATGATTCAAATAGCTACACAAACTAATATAAATGGACAAAAAGGCAGTGTAGCAATGAAATTACGAATAGCAAACTCTCTTACTGTCCACATGTAAAAGCTATTTATGTAGAAGTTCTCTTAATTCAATAGGACTTACGCCAAAATACAACTATCCCCATAAGAATAGAAGTAAATGATGAGTTCCAATGGAAACTGAACAGCATTGGCATCTTAAGACTTTTTGCTGCAAAGGAACTGACAACACAGAAATAACAATAGCATTTAGACTTATATACCGCCCCATAGTGCTGGGATCTCCCACCAGGTAGGAGATTCTACCTCCTACCTCCTACCAGGTAGGATCTCCTACCAGGCTGTGGCCATTGGGAACTGGGCTGAGAAGCAGTAGACAAGCAACATTCAGGCAAAACCATCCCCTCTCCCCTCCTCGCTGTCGCCAGTCCGCACAGCCAAAAAGGTTCTTTGCTTTACTGGGCAGTTTACAGAGTCAGCATATTGCCCCCAATAATCCTGGTTCTCATTTTACCGACCTCAGAAGGATGGAAGGCGAAGTCAACCTTGAGCCCCATCAGGATCAAACACCTGGTTGCAGGTAACACTGCATTCTAACCATTGAACCATCAGAACTCCATGATCACACATCAAAAGAACTCAATTATTAAAGCAACACCTCAGTAATAAAAAGAGGATTTAACAATATCCAGAATCAGTATCACAATTCTGCCCCCCCACCCCGCTATCAGGTCAACCATACAGCCCCCATTAGGCAGATTCAGATTCAGATACAGCCCCCAGTGGCAAAATTCATTCATTCATTCTGGAGAACAGTGGCAAAATATATTTATTCATTTGTTTGTTTATTTTTGCTGGCATTACTGCCATTACTTTCATTTGCTCCCCTTTCTAATTTTTAAATCAACACAGAGAGGGAGAGAATGCAAAACGTCAGACTTGGTCAATGATGAGCAACACTGTTGTTTCCAAGATTGCCTCTAAGTTCTACTCAGACCTCAAAGGCATTCCTAGAAAATCTAAAATCAGAGAGCCAGAAATAGATGAAATAATGTATTTTGTATATGTATAAATCGTACAATTTAATATTTATATATCCTGCGTACACAAAAAAAATTGTGCATGGCAATAATCCCATCAGACAATCACCAGAAATCATGACTTTTCAAAATATGTAGAAACAGCCTGCATAGATTGTCTCTGCTGCATGTCCTCTGTGAAATAGAATACTTTATCTCTGAAACTTGGTCATAGATCATGAGGAGGAGAATTCTGTTTGCTTGCAAAAAAACATGCCCAAGATCTGTAGCTGAAGGAGGTACATGTTATATTGCTGTATAGAGCTTAGCCATAACAGTTTAGGCTAATGCCTGAACAGAGAGAGAATGTTTTAATATATATTCAGGACACCCCATGTGGCACATCTGCTGCCTGATCCTATTGTTGCAGAAAGATTCGAGTCCTCCCGCAGAGTATTTCTATACATGCAAAGGGAAGTCTGCATCTTCTCTATCATCTCAGCTACTAAAACACTTCTGAGACTAGTTTTGCATATTTTGCATAGAGAGACCATTGACAGAATCAACCCCCTTTTTTTCCAAATACACCTCAAAAATCAGATCAAAATCTTAAAGGTCAATGATTTCTTATAGGAAAAACTATTATTTAAACATTATGCTCATCAGCCGTGGAAATATGTATTTGCCCAGTGCCTAATTACATATATACTCTTATCTGTGTGTGTGTATGTGTGTGTGTGTAAGCTATTTTGAACTTCTATGATTCATATATGCCATCATTATACAGTTTATGAATGAATTCATAAACTTAATTGCCTAATATTGAATAATACTTTCCATACAACCCTTCCTTTATATTAAATTGAATGAACTATTCATCTGAAAATGTACCATTATATTAGAAATCTCAAACTATTACAACAGCATCCAGTTTTATAAAATGACCGTAAATATGAGTGTCATATAACGATTCCAAAAGAAGCTACTGTAGTATCCTGCATAGTTTGTTGGGCAGTAGTTTTAACAGCAGATCAAAAGTAACTGCAGTACTAATTTTTAACCAGGTATTTAATGAAGAATTTCTTTTCTGCATTCCTTATTCAAGAATGCTTTAACTTGGTTTAAAGAATAGCAATATTTTAGATGTTGCATCTGATTCTTTTATATATCCGGATTAGTGCCATTTGATCATAATGTAAGCCCAAGCAACACAGCTGCTCCATCAGCTTCTCTTCAGAAATAAAGTCTTAATCATATATCAACTGAATGACTATTTTAATTTTATTAATATTGCAAGTAGGCATTCCAGATTTTATATCTTCCAAAGGTCACTATACCTCTTCAATTACCCTAAACTCCCATCGTTCCCTGTTTTCTTCTCCCCTAGCACTGAACAACGATATCCTATCATTAAAATGTTACTGTGATGTTAACGGTAATTAACATTTTTCTTTGTTTAAAAAGGATAAGCTTCAGATGCACATTCTAGTTTTTGAAGTTCTGCTTATGCCCAAGTACACTTCAAGTATCCTCTTGATATTCTTGTAAATCCTTACGAAAGATCTTATGAAAATGTTTACTGCTCCATTCTAGACTCTTCTCTATACAACACAAACCTAAGGAATCTTTGTTTGTGTTAGCCAAGCCACTAATACTTTTCCAACTGAAGTTAAGAATATGAAGCAGGGGTCACTACGGTAATTAAAGTATAAGACTAACAAAATATAGTCTTAATCACTTGCATTTCTCTATACGACCAGAAATATTAACAAATGACACCTCATAAAATACTTCGAAATAAAACATGTACTTTAATGCAAAAACCTACTGCATACAAGGAGGGTTTCAAGAGCAACCCCTCTGCCAGGATGAAGGTAAAATGGCCATCATTCTGTCTTCAGGCAATGGCATTCCATATCACACTCATAAATACATGACAAATACTTCCTCAATCATTTTTTACAAGCAGGGATGCACAGGGGGTTGTCAATGGCTAGCTTGAGGGAAAATAGGAACAGCAGGCGGCAGAAGCTGTACTGAAAATGGTTATGTGGTAAATTCTCTTCTGTAACATCACTCAACTATCCTACCCTTTGATCTTTCAGCTACAATTACATGAATATCCACGAAATCTGGATTAAAAGAACACTACAACCATCACTGGTACATGAACACAATACTATTTCTAATATTAGTTCATAATATAAACATAATATTTATACATTTTAAAAAACAATTTAGGCGGTATGTTTTCTAGTCAACCTTCACCAGTCAGTTTTATATATACGCAAAGATATTCGTGTGATTGGTGTCAGAGAAATTACAGCTAGGGGTCTCCCAATTATTTAAAAAAAACATAATGTCTAACTACTAGTCTTTATTGTGCAATAGTATATCTATTGGAAATTCCCCAAATACAGAAATGCTCATCCATTCAGCCTTTCCTCTTTTCAAATAAATGTTGACATATATTGTCATTGCAGCCTTCAAAAAAGTTTTCCAACAATCCTAAATTTATATTTGTGTGAAACTGAAAAATGACTCCTGGAGCACAGTATTTTGCAGCTCAACAACAAAATATTCAGAGTTTTCTGAAGATTGATTTAATTTTAAATAATCCATTATTAGAAAAACTTGCCAAGTTTGCATCTTGAATTATTAACTATAAAAGTTCAACTTTTCTTTTTTAGAATATAGGTGCATTATAACAATAGCAGCAGAAGAGTTCTGAGCTGAAATAATTTCACAGAATATATCTTATAACTTATTGGAGTTAACCATCTGACATTAATTATTGTTTTGGCTTCTAGCCTGTGAATGTTTATTTTTCAGTTTAAAGTCTTCTCGCTCTTTGATACCATATGGAAATGAGAATGTTTAATGGGAAATTGAAACCATGTGCATCTAAGTACTTAATGAAGTACAGGGAGAGTAAGAGAGTATGTTTTAAAAGAATTCTGATACACTGTTCTGGATACTTTTACAAAACAAATACAACAATAGCTTAATTTTTCTTATAACTTAGCATACAATTGCATTTATTAAAATAATTAAAAACTTCTTTAATTGATGCTTTATTTTAATGCAATAAATTGCATTAAAAAATAGATGCAAGCATCTATTGTTCACACAAAATCTCATCTTTTTAGGACAAGTTAAAGTTCACTGCTTTCAGATGTGAGAATTCTAATATATCATTATGTTTTGGATTGGATCTTGATCCAAACACTGCTTGACAGGTAGCCATTGTCAGTATTATGAAAATTTATGCCCTGAATTGGACAAAGTACATGAAATATTCTAGTACTGAACAAATAAGAATCAAGAAACAAAGATGGATTTTGTAAAGCAACTAATGGTCCTATGACCAATATATTCTATAACCAGGCCAAAAAAAATAATTAGTAAGAGGAAAATTGATTAAGTTTAGTAAAGTTCTCACTTCTATTGTATTCCATTAAGTATGGTATATTTCCAAAAATAGCATTAAGTAAGGAATAGAACACAATAATATCTTTATTAACCAATACTAAAGTTCCCTTGGAAATTATAATTAAACTTTAGAAAACTCACCATTTGTTTTTCTTTCTCATGTAATCTTTTTCGGAGAGGTTAATCAAATAGATCATTGGTTTAGAAGTTAAAAACAAATATTTGTTGAGCACTTCAATCTAAAAAATAGCAAACAGAAATTATGTAAAATATGCAACTTTGTAGTGTCTCTCCCCACACCCATATAGATTATATGTGCAAGTGGGGAAAAAAGTATACTTATGGTTTGTAGATGAAGATGATATTAATTTGCTAGAATTAAATTAAAAAGTTTATATAAAAATCTGGTGCACATATATACCTCTCTGTTTGGGTTTTAATGGGAAGACACTAGAATCTGAAGTAATAATTATAAACTTGCCTCTTTATCATTCCAATCATGATAGAAACGGACTGGCTTTTTTTCATCTATTACCCAGCTTTTGATTTTGCACATTATGTCCTGTTGGAATTAAAAAGAAACAAAAGACATTTTAATATGTTATAGTCTGCTATTTGTAGGATTGTTATTTCTCGCAAGAGAGGAATTTTAGTTAGCAAAATATAACAAATCTTCTGAAATGTGATCTCTATTTGAATGGCAGAGCCCAGAATATTACTAAGCACAGAGTAGAGATGTGTGAGAAAAATACAAATTACACTCTTCCCTTCTCTGTGGAATTAAAAAAACAACGGTAAATTTAAAACTGCCTTTCAAAGCTTCATATTGGCAAAATAATTAAGCATCCTATGGAAGCAACCAAAACATATTGCAAAGATGCCCCCCCCCCAAAATCCCGAAATTGAGCTGATTAGTGAAGATCCACCCATCAAGGTATTTGTTCAGATGTCCAAAGGCCATCATCTTACACATTAATTTTTTGCCCACACCTTCTCATCTCCTCCAAAAAGCGAATCCTGCCAAAACTTTCATTACACAATGGCAAGAGCCTTGCACTGGTGACCTCCAACCAGCTGCGTTCACTTTCAGAGCATCTCTCCCTGCAGGAAATCTAAAGGCCTTTTAGTTAGCAAGCTAGTGTGCATTCAGAAGGAGTAACTGCAGGAAGAGCCCCAATGTGCTTTGTTTCTCTGGCCTTTCTTCACAGAAAGATTAATCATCTGTGAAATGGAAACGGCAAACAGCAAGTGACACAAACTGAACCCTTCAAGCCTTTCCTCATCAGTTTTGTGGTTCTGCATCTGAAAGCTGCGTGTGGCAAGGTTTGCCTTACAGGCAGGTGTTAATAAAAGCCTCTTAGGTCTGAAAGGTCAAACTAAGCTCTTCAAGAAGTAGCACGTTTTTTGTTTTTTTTTTGTCAGACGTAATTTACGGCCAGGTTCTAAATGCTGCATTTCAGGAAAATTAACTTGAATGTGATATTCCATTAAAGAATTTAACACCAATTTCTAGCTGCCAAATTTTAAGGCACACGTCAATAAATAGGTCACATACATATAAATATATGACCTTAGTATTTAGTATACTAGTCTCACCAATCATGCAATTGCTTCAGGTGGAAAAACAAGACGAAAGCTCTTCTAAATCTCAGTTCCTGATTTGTAACTCTCCAGGAACAGGACTTCCCACAGATTTTAACAAGAAAGGGGCAAGCTGAAAACTTTTAATGAAATATAACATGTTCTGCCTAAGAATAATCACTTTTACTCTTCTATAACTGATTTTCACTCATAAATGTTTTTAAAGTGGCTAATGTAACACCATTTCCTACAAGGAGAAGATCAAAGTGCTATATTACAAATGCATTATGATTAAAAAAGCACTGTGCAGCCTTGCTATTAAATGTTCTTTAAACCCTAAAAGGCTTCCCATAGATCTCACTTGGCACTGCATATACAACCTTTGACAAGTAATGTAGACCATTTTTATTCATTGCCTAAAATTGTAGGCAATTATGTGCGTCACACTGGCCACCTGCAAGTTCTGAATGCCTGCTCCAGTTGTCAGAGCTAAAAACTAATGTTGGAGGGGATTAATCTAAAGGGAGAGAGTCCTCTTTAATGGCTACAGCAGGTGAAATGGCCCAGCTGGTTACTATGATGAGTGGCCAGAACAGCTTATGTAGAGACATGCAACAAGATTACACATGTAAAAATAAAATAAAATAGGTAGCAGAACTATGTTGTCTTTGGGGCTTATCAATGTTTTATTTGATCAGTAAATAATTAAGTTTAAAATGTGCATTGTTTTACCCTTAGCCTTTTCTTCAATATTAGAATAATTCCGCTAGTTAACCCTGCTTAACTACTGGAGGAATTTTATACTGATTCAACTTTAAAACAGACACATAAGCATAACAGCTAAGATTCTAAACTCAACAGAATAAACAGGAATCTCTCTTGTATGTACAATTTTTACTTTCTGCACAAACAAAAGGCTGTGAGAGTAACACATCCAGCCTTTCTTTCAAATTTGTTTAAGAGCAAACACGCTTTATACTTGGTCTCTAAACTTACACTGTAAGAAATTATAGGACCATATTTAAAAATAGATACATTTAACCCTATGATGATTGTGCATTTTATTTGAATCTATGTTTCAAGCATGAAAAAAGTCATTTTCCTCAGGTTCACCCATTTATGCTATTCATTTCCAAACTACAGCAGAATCATCAACAATTACCACATGATCCAAATCCGCAATGCAAAAAATGCAAGATTACCAGGATAGTTTTTCATATGAACAATCATTTATTTATCATAAAGAACCAATTTGGTAGATGTGGGTGAACCAGGCCTTCCTATTATAATCCTTTGTCTTTACAGCATATGTACACTTCCAGTGTGATGAAAACGTAGGCTCCAATTTTCCTCATGATGATAAATATTTCTTTAATGAAACTTTTAACATTTTGAAAATTCTGTTTGCGCATTCTGAGAACTGACATAAGCGTGGGATGGAAGAATACCCTCATATCAGTTCATTTATCTCTTTTCCTTACTGAGAAAGCTTATTTCTATTTAAGCAGCGTGTTCATGAATGTAGACCTATAATATAATATATTATCCAGTAAAGTTGGGGAGGAGAAAAATTACACATTATTAGATTGATACGCTTATGCTTGTATTTTAAGAATTGGTTTTGTATTTCTTCATGTTTTTACAAATATCTTTAAATCACTTTTTAAAAAAAAATCCATATGAACCTACTTAAGAATGCATCCATTTGAAAAAATCTACAAGTATGCCATCTTAATTGCACCTGCTATGTAAACCTCTGATTCATTTCTTTTTCAAAAGTAATTCAACTGAAACATCTGAGTGGATGGAAGAGAAATGGATGTTGGGATTCAAATGTATTTTTGTTTTAAGAAATTCAATTATTTTGCCATGCTCATGAATATTTTTGAAGCATGATGATTTGAGAGCACACTCCCTTACTTTGTTCAGAATGGGAGTGGTGAGAGGGACACTGAACATTTCTATTTTCAGAGACAAACAGATGTGCTTCTTGAAAAAGAAATCTAATAATTTATATTTTGTGTGTGTATGTGTGTATTATTTTTTATCAGCACAAATGCAACATACATACATACATACATACATACATACATACATACATATATATTGCACCTTCTCAATCTGGCCTATGACAGAGTCATCCATTGCACAATGAATTAATTTCATGAGACAACACAATTTTAAGACAGAAATATTCTAGTGTGGTGTGGTTTTCCTATTATCAAAGTCTCTGTTGGCATGCTAGCAACACCAAAGAGTCGAGATAGGAAGTATGACTGCTGCCATTCAGGTGTCACAATTTACCATAACAAAGCCTTTATGGAGACCTAAAAATCAAGAGCAACACTATTTCCCTCTTGATTTGCAGGTGTGCTTCATCAACTATAACATGCGAAACTGTCTCAGTATTCCAGGAGAAGATTACTGGAAAGAAAACGATGAAATATTCATATTTATAAATGCATAACCTGATCTGCAAAATGATCACTCGTTTTATCACATTGACCATAATGGCAAACAGGATTCTAGAAGAAACCTTTTTTTCTTTCTAATAGAAGGGTTTCAAGATGGAGTATGAATCATGACTTTTATACTTCTCAAGCACAGAAAATGATGGGCTTTAGTGTAGAGGTGGTCATTTACATTTTTCAAGTGTCCTGAACTTTTAAGCACTTGGATCAGAAGAAGCAGCAGAGTTATCATTTAACAAGCTTTTTTTTAAAAAAAGTTATGGGGATTATAAATTATAAAAAAGATTATAGATCTTATGTTGAGATATTATAGATCTTATGTTCAGATATATACACACACACGTATTTTTTTAATCTATTTAAAAAAGCCATAACTTTAGGGGTGTATTTAATTCAACATTGAGATCATTAATGCATAGATTTCTGATACACAGCAACAGAATCATTTTACTTGCAAGGTGATATCACTTGCAAGGTGACATAAAATCATATTTGTCGTGCAATGATTCAAAGATATTTAATCCAGGAATACACTTTACTGCATCCTTACACCTTCAAGAAATTAATTTCATGAACATTAAGTAACAGTACAATAGTTCTCTATTCATTCAGTCTATTTCCTGCCTTTTATTAAAAAAAATGCCAATACCATGAGGATGGACAAATGTAAAGCATCAGTAAAACCAATAAAGTAAAATTCAGGAAGAATGCCCAGGCTATATTCCATTCGTTACAGTAGATTTATGCCTTGCACTAAAATGTAAATAGTACTAAAGAAACGCACGCACGCACGCACGCACACCACACTTAAGGAAAATAAACACAGTCTACAACAGTTCTTTCCTCAAACTTTCATTTCTAAGTATTCTAAATACTCTCCATTACTGAATTGGGGTCCCTATGAAAAAGTGAATGAGAAGACACTTATGAAAAACAGAGCAATTAAATAAGATTTCCCCATGTCTAGAGACATAAAGAGTATAAAGATATTCTATAGTATCCCTGCGCACAAAGGAAAAACTATACAGCTCTCAAATGTAAAGAAAAACCATTTCTTCCTTCAAGGGAAATGGTATTTATTTTTATAAGAGGAGGGAATACAATCAAGTTGTTACATCCATACCTGTCTTTCACTAATCCTTAAAGGGAGTTGTAGCTATATTGTAAGAATCATCCATTTACTTGACTCTAAAAAAGTATTACCTATAGTGGTGATGGCAAACCTATGGCATGTGTGCCACAAGTGGCATGCGGAGCCATTTGTCAGGGCACACAAGGCATTGCGCTTTCAGCTAGCCAGCGCACATATGCGCGCTGGCCAGCTGACTTCGGCCTTCTTTTGAGGCTATTTTTCGCCCTCAGAGGCTTCCTTGAAGGATCCAGAGCGTGAAAAACCGGCCCTATGAGGAAACAGGAAGTCAGGTTCCTGAAGGAGGACGAAAAACAGCCCTATGGACAAACCGGAAATCCATTCCCAAACTTCCAGTTTGCCCATAGAGCTGTTTTTTTTGTGCTCCGGAGGCTTCAGAGAAGCTCCTGAAGTCTCAGGAGCGCCTCCAGGGGGTGGGGGAAGCTGTTTTCACCCTCCCCAAGCTCCTATAAAGCCTCTGGAGCCTGGAGAGGGCAAAAAAAGCATGCCAAAAATGGGGGGAAGCACTGGTCATGTGTGCATGCATGCTGGGGTCGTGCCCATAGCATTATGGGTGTGGCATGTCCACGCATGACACCCCTGCGCTCCCCCCTCTTTTGGCACGCGAGCCACAAAAGGTTCACCATCACTGACCTATACAGATCATCCTTGACTTCCGATCACAATTGGGACCAGAATTTCCACTGCTAAGTAAGGCAGTTGTTATATGAGTTATGGGGTTTTTTTTGCCATGGTTGTTAAGTGAATCACATGCTCTTTAAGCAAATCCAGCTTCTCCCACTGACTTAATTTGCCTGATGCCAGCTGGGAAGGTCACAAAAAGTTATCTCATGACCCTGGGATGCTGCAACCGTTGTAAATACATGCTGGATGGCAAGTGCCTAAATTTTGATCATGTTACCATGCAACAGTTGTAGGTATGATCGTAACATTTTTGGTGCCGTTATAGTTGCTAAATGAATCACTGTTAAGTCAAGGACTACTAGTACAGTAAACCATTGATGTAATGGACTAATATCCATTACATCCAAATGTCTGCTAAATTCTAAATAGGACTTTACTCCTGTGAAAAATGTAGGATAACATAATGTTAAAAATAGGAATCTATCTGGATACATAAGCAAAATTGAATATATCATGTCAAGTGATAAAAACCTGTTTTAATGTTGGAAATACAAGATAAAGTGAAGATAAACTATAGAAAAGAGCATATGAAAATGATAAAGACATCACAAAAAACAAAAATAAAGAGAGATAAGCTGTTAGAGGAGAACAATGATTTTGAGATTAATCTATCAAATCACTCTGTTCTATTGCAAGATTTGGAAGAGATGAACTTTACGGACCAAAATGAACAAATAGTCAAAAACATCCTTGTATCTACTACATCTATAGCAGGGGTGTCAAACTCAATTTCATTGAGGGCTACATCAGGGTTGTGTTTGACCTCGGGGGGGGGCATCACTCATGTCTCAATGGACGGTGATACAATAAAGGAAATTAAACATTATTTTCAAGAACAACCTTCCCCTACGCCAGAAAAGTTTTCGATCAATGTCTGCTGCCTGCCCTAACATATGCCACTGAAACATGGATACTAATCTCACCATTGATACAAAAGCTACGAGTGGTGCAAAGCGCCACAGAAAGAAACATGCTCAGCATTTCAAGACAAGATAGAAAGACCTGCACGCGGATTAGAGAAGAAACTAAAGTATACTATATCATCAAGAGAGTAAAAGAACTGAAATGGAAACGAGTTGATCACATAGCAAGAACAACTGATGACAGGTTGATCAAGGCAGCCATAGAATGGATCCCACTTGATAAAAAGCATCCATGAAAGAGACCTAAACCAAAATGGATCAATGACATCAGCAAGTATTGTGAGCCCAATTTGCAAAAAAAAAAAAAAAAAAAAAAAAACCCAACTCAGGACAGTATTGGTTAGAAACATGCAGAAGAGACCTTCATCCTGCAGTGGATAGACAATGACTAAAATGGTGATGGTGATGGTGGAGAAGGAGAAGGAGGGAGAGGGGAAGGAATGTAACATGTATGGAGATTTTTTGGGATCGATTTACCAAAATCTGTTGGTTGAGGCAAAGTACAAGCTCAGATTTTATCTATTACAGTCGACGTCTGCTGAATTGAGATAACCCAAATCAATTTTTCAACCCCTCCCTCAATTGCTTTAAAGGTTCCCTAAAAATTCTTCAACTTTAAATGTATTTCCCTATGTAGCTTTCTCCATATTGTTTTAAAACCAAAAAATTATTCATTCAGGAAATTTTTATGGATTAATTTTTTTAAGTTGTACATTGGTGTAATGTTAACATTTGGTTGGAGAGCAATTTAGTTGTTACACTACACTTAACAGTAATTTCTTCTGCTAATGTAGAAATAGTGTTTTCTGTCTCTGGAGTAATTCATTAAAAACTGAGATAAATTTTGGAAAGCTTGTTTTCTTTTTAAACTCTAAATGAAGAGGAATACCCAAATCAAATGTAAATGCATCATCCAGCTAATGATATGTTTTGTGCTGACTTGATGGAAATTGCTTTTTTGTTAAACTATTGTTTATAAATAAGAAAGTTATTTTAAAAAATAATCATTCTGTAACTGTTGAAAAACTAGCAGAAATAAGCGAGTTTATTAACACTAATTTAAAATGTCGTAATATATCATTAAATATAAATATCCTCCAAACAATTCCAAAAATTAATTAGATTGGACAGAATCTAATATGATTTGATTTGATTCAATGCAAAGGATTTCACAAATATGTATCTGCTTGCTTGATACTATGATCATGCTAAATATATCATATAAGTGAAATTTACATTAGCGAGTAGTAAAAAATATGAACTGAAGTTGTATCAAAGAAAAATGTGTTTTATGATTACAGAATCTTCCTATCTAATGAATAAATTAGGATTTCAGTGAATAAATTGTGTCTTCATGACTGGTGATTGAAATCTTTTCCCCCTCCTAAATCAAATCTGCTTGTTTCTTTATTGTAGCTGTCAAGGACAGTTAGTTGCAACCTACTGCAAATAAATCCTGAAACTATTACAGGATTTAACACAGAAATCTGTGAAGCCACCTCTATTTCATGTTAAAACTAGGGCCATATGCTTATTTCACGTGGTTCATCATCAGCTATTCCTTCCTTTCAGTCTTCGTTTTTGCTCTAATATTTATTTGTCTATTGTGAGTTTTGGAGAATTTGAACATTTGCATATTTTAAGAACTTTTGAGTTTGTCTAATATAGATATTTTGTTTTTACTTGTTTTACATTAGTATGCTGCCTGGAATTCCAGGCCATGTACATGGGGTGGGAAGAGGACATTTCTTATTTTATCCCCAATATAGAATGAAATAAAATCCAGTATAGTGTAATGGTTCATGAACTGGACTAGCACAGGTGCAAGGTCCTGGGTTCTAATCCCCCATTACATATATAAAAACTGCCTGCCTAACTTTGAAAGCACTATTTTCTCCCAGACCTAGACAAGGAAGTATAAAAAGCCATCCTTTTCCCAACCCACATTGGACTGCCAGAGGATTTGTGTTGACGTCAACAACAACAAGATAAATTAAACTCAAAGAATATGTCAGATTTATCCTATGGTTGAGTCCAAATCATTGTTATTCTGCAGTGATTCTCCTATTTGAATTAGTTTGACAGACTTTAAGAAGAATGTATACACATGCAGAAATTACACATTCTCTATTAAATTACAAATAATAAATCTTCACCACTGTGTAGTTTATATTTATCAAAAAGTACCTATTAATATAACAATTACATAAATATATACAATTAAAAAGAACATGTTACTGCAATTTGATACATACTGGTGGAATAGTTTAAATTCGAAAGAAACTAGTGCATTTTTTCCAGGGCAGTAAAATCCAATGATAATCTGACAATCATTAAATCCTGTTTTCGAAAACACATCAATCCTACACTCCAAAATATACACTTTTGAAATGGAATGTTTTCTTACTTACATATTCAGGTTTTAATTTCTTGTCACCGCCTCGTACAGCCACTTTTTCTAATTTGTCTATAATGGGCATGATCATTTCCTCATCTTTTAGTCTAAGTTCTTCATGTATTATTTCAATGTCACGAACCGGCTCCACGCTTCCTTCAATGTGTGTGATATCATCATCATCAAACGATCCTTTGTGGAAGCAAAAGTGGGTGGGTTAGGCAATATTCTTAGCTAACAACAACGCACAAAGTACCTAATATGTCATAAATGTATTATACATACATAGACGCACAAAACAAACCCAGGACGGGGGTAAAAATTAGACACAGCACAACCCGGTAGTTATGTCTACGAGGGCAGAACACAATTGATATTTTAAATTCTCCAGGGTTCTTTTTCGAGTCAATATCATCTCATAAGGTCTTAAAGCTAGTTGAGGAAAAATTGTCTTTATATATCCTTCGATAAACACAGTGGCTTAGAATAAAGTAAACACTGAAACTGTCAGGAAGTTCTGTCAAAGAATGGTGAAGTTCTCTAGTATAGTAATGGGTTTCCAAGGGAAACAGAATTTACGAAAAGAAAGGGGGGGACAAGGGCCTGAAATCATCTGGCAGACCTCTTCCCTGCTTCCAACTACTTTATCACTATGGTTCTGACGGTGATTAGATAATGAACCACTCAGACACACAATTTACACAGCAGCTAATTTCATCGGTCTGATTTGAGGGTATGGTTTTTAGGGGGCCATCAAAGAAGCAGAGGAAGGTGCATTTGTCATATATGAGTGACAACCATTCACACTATCTCAACAAAATGGTGCTGGCCCTTATTAGAAACACATGCTATTATCACATATTTAAAGTGCAGCTGAAGCCATAATTTCAAATTGCCAACTGGAAACATAAGGGTAAAACAACCAGATATTACTGAACCATGTGTACTGACTTTATGCCCTTCTGAAGACATAATGTGGCAACATAATTCAACTGGGATACTCTTGAGTTATCAATAAAGAATCGTACGAAAACAAAAATTAAACATTTATTAATAGCAAACTATAATTTAAATGGTAGGCATATTCATGAATAATTCATGACAAAAAAATTTTTGACACCATGTAATAGCAGAATCAACCCACTAACTTCAGGCACAATGTTTTAAATACCATTTAGCATGGTTACATCATTTTTAGTGTTGCCAATTATAATATCCTCCTGATTTTAAAAAAATCTTGTGACCCAATTCTTTTTTCTAATTGAATTTGTATCGTGAAATTTAATGCTGTACTCTGAGACACCTAGGCTGCATGAAAACAAAACCTCCCATGTAATTCTGAAAAGATGTCAGCCGCACGTCAGGCCAATTCATCTCACTTTCTCCTTGTGTGAGGAATATCACAGGAATATCTTCATTTTGAAAACTATGCATGGTAAAACTAATCTTTTCCTTTCTAATAATGTGACTGAAAAACACAGAAAGCAGCTTGTCATCTGATATTTTTTTTCCCTAAAAACATTGTGAGGCACAATTTTTTTCCTGACATTGCTTAGCTCAGTTCAAGTGGCCACATATGCCTTCACATGTCAATACTAATCCTTTGGAGTGTTTATTTATTTTTAATGAAAACATGTGAAGATCTTTTAATGCTTACAACTAGCACTGGTTAAGCTGGCTAATTAATTTTGTAGTAACTGCATTTTCAAAATATTTGAAAAGAAACCCATCAGGTAAAAATAGTATCAGATGATGACGACGATGACGGTATTTTGCATTCCTTGTTCCTACTTTAAAGGAATCATTCACTTCCTTCTCAAGCACTAGGTTGTATTTTTATTACCTCTTGATCATAATAGTAAACGGCAGTACTGGTATCTAGGTGTATTCTTGTCGCTTTACCATATTCATCCTATGACTGTTTTTGTTTTGTTTTTTGTAAATATTTGAGAATTTTTTAAACACGTTTTATTCCAACTTTTTATGGATTTACATTTAACATTTTAATCATTCAAAGAGCTGTTGGGATCTTGCCAAAATTGAGGAAGTGTTTTTTACTTTACATGCAATTTTAGCAGGGCCCTAATGGAAGTAAGGTCAGAACTTTAAAAGAATTTCAAAAAAAAAAAAAGTTGCAAAAAATTATGTAAGGAAAGACACATTAGACTGATTTACAGTAAATTAATTAATGCATGTAATTAATTAAATCAATAGTTACTCTTTTGATAATTTTAATTTAGGAAGATCAGTTACATAACTTGTCTTTTAGATATAAACACTTAATCAAATTGTTTGAAATATGTTTTATAAACGTAACTATAATTAATAATCATTTATCACCTAAATTTAAAAAAAGACTTTTCTATCTTTCTTTCACATCCTCTATCACTCGGAACTAATGAAGAAAAACTCTTCTTTTATGTGATATTCTTTGAGACAGGGGTGTCAAACTCAATCCCATCCCGGGCCATATCAGAATTTTGTTTGCCCTTGGGGGGCTGGGGTAGGCACGGCCTGGTCATCTCGGCCAATTGGGTGGGTGGGGCTGGGGTGGTACAGGCTAGATCCTCGCTGTCTCCAGGACGGCCCCAAGGGACAACTCTGGGTCTATTGTGGACCAGATCCATCCTGCAGGGCCGCCTGTTTGAACCCCTACTTTAAGATACTTAAAGAGATCAATTATATCCTCATTCCTCTTCCCATTCCCATCCTTTTCTTTTTTCAAGTATAAATATTCCCAAGCTTTTCAAACTCTTTTTGCAAGCAAATTTCTTGTGTCAATTCATTCTTTTCACTAAACCTATTCCAGACTGTGTGAAAGCTACTTAAGCAAACACAATATCAAAATAAACATTCCGTTTAGCTATAAACTGGTATTAACTAAACTGTTATTTAAAATTATATTTTAAACTGATCAATCAGAATGTGGCCAGAGTAACTAATGATAGTGACTGGATTGAAAACTATGATCTCTCTAGGCAAAAAAGATTTATTTTAAACCTAAAATTTCACTATTCACATATAAAAAGAGGAAATGAATCTATCACCACCTTGAAAAAATAATCACTATGATTTTATCTTTCTATGCACCCAGAAGTACAATTCCAGTTACTTATCAAATAAAAATTGTACTTGCAATATCTAGTTGCCCACACTGCTTTCCATCCATACAGATTTGAATATGATACTCTTCCCAGTATCATGTAATATGGCACTATAATGCTGTTACTTACTATTTAAATTTTACTCACTTTTATAACAAACATCTCACATATAGGTCTATAGAAAATTCTTTTAAATATGTCCTCCCTTAAATATGAGTACAATTGTATGCATATTTTTGTACTTGCATTTTTAAAAACAATGAATAATTTAAAGGGGTTGATAATGAAGATTTCAGAAGAGATACCACGTGATAGTTTCAGCACATGTTATGCTTAAATATTAAGCTGCACAAAAATGATCATTTTCCAGCGCCTTTGTATGACCAGAGGTAGAGGCTTCAGTTTGAGTGCCAAATATGACTCATGGGTTTATTTATCTAGCCACCCTTATTATTGTATACACAAAAATGTGAAATCACAGCTGCCAGTTCTCTAGCTGGGCTTGGCCTTCATTTGCATTGAGCACTTCCCAATAACCTGGGACGTTGTAATGTATCACCGCAGTAAATGTGCGGATCCAAGCAGCATGGCCTTTTGTGACTGACAGATGGAAATTCTGCCAATGTGCATATTTTTAAGTACCCAGTATGGCACCCAGTGTACCAATACCCATGGAACCACATAGCCAGTTTATTAAATCTAAAATCTTTTAATTACATTTGCTTTCTTTTGCCCTAGGCATTCTATTCTATTTGCAGGTCTTTGTATTTTGCGATTTTTCTCTAGTTCTTTCTCTTCTATTCTGCTGTCTCCAGGTACTTGCAATGTCCACTACCCTTTTCTCTTTCTTATTGACAATTGTTAAGTCTGAGTTATGTGGCAGACTTTTTTTAATTTTTAAAGAACCTATTATTAATAATCTAAAACACCCTATCTTTCAATCTCTCCTAATTCAAAGTTCCATGAATTGGCTCTAAAATGTTTCCAATTAGTCTGCATGAAATATTCCTTTACACTTCAACAACAGCCCAGATATCATTTTCCTATTACACAATAACAGGAGCATAGTTTCTCCAGGTATTTACATATTCTTCTATCCTGCTTTATTCCAATATTTTAACATGTTATAAATTCTATCTATATTTTATCAGCACCCTTTAAATTACAAGCTGCCTTGGTATTATTTTACAATATGCACATACTTCTTCCATTTCTTACACCGTCCATATGACAATTATTTCAAAACATCCAGAGATTTTGTCAATGCTTATGTTATACCTGTCAAGATCTGATGACTCTATGTTATGTATTCCTCTGAACAGAACCACTACACTTAGTTACAGGCTATCATCAACCAATTCATTCTCTTGCTAAAATCAAGTCATCCAATTACTCCTTGACTAATCAAGGCTGTTTTGGCTTTTTCTTTTTTCAAAAGGTACTCAACAGCATAAACAGTTCACTTACAAGAAATGGAAAGGGGCTAATCAGCAGAATTATTGTTTTGCTGCTACAATTTGCAGTATTTAAATGCAGTTGCTGATTGGACTGAAAGTTTTATGATACAGCAAAGGAAACTAGTTTGACTTAAATATGAAGCTGCCTACGTCTTGCCTACTGAAGGAAAGAAATGCAGAAAACTAGAATGTTTGCAGCGATTCACTTTTTATATTTATGTATCTAAGTAAATGTTAAAATATATAAAAGTTCTTAATTTTCTAGGCATGCTTATCTTTCCATCTTCTCTAATTTTCTGACGTTACGTTCATATTTCCACCACGAACAGACTCTCTCTTTTGTTTCTAATACACTGAGGCTCAGAATTTAATGATCCAAGTACTCCAGCAAATTAATTTATTGATTAATCAATAAATATCAAGAGACTATAAAAACAATACTGAAAAAGCTAGAACATATTTTTCTATCATCTCCCCTGTGGAACTTCCCAATCAGTTCTTAAGTGATTCATCTTTTTCTTGATAGTCTTTGATAAAAGGTTCAGACTTCCAAATAATGTACAAGTTCAAGCCTACAAAAGTTTAACAATTGATACTTAGTGTCCCAATGTATCCTAGATTTCAAAAAGAA